CAAAATAAAACATCTTAAATACCCGCGTAGGTAGAGTATACAATTCGAATGTTTTATATACCGAGATTCGAATTTTTTTTTTTTTTTTGAAAAAAAATTAGGCCATCATTGACACATTCGAATTAGACAGGCGTATTTGGAAAAAATGTCTGTCCGCCATCGTCGTTGATGAGTTGGAACCCAACAATCTCGGTCAATTCAATGTAGATGTAGTTGATGTGGGTTAAATAAAAAAAGGACCTAGGAAAAAAATAAGCAACAAAGTCAAAATATTCGAATCGCGCAAAATCAATGAATCAAAAAAATTTTTTTTTCGGATAAAGATGATAACACTGGTGTGCTATTAGTGTGTGTTTATTCTGTAAATGTTTATTTCGGTTGTTGTTGTTGTCGTTTTACATCATAATTTTGTTTACATCAAAATGAAATTTTCAATCAATTAAATGTTTGTTTGAAAGCATTAATATATTTGTCATCATTTTGAAAATAAAATAAAATTTTCATCAAGGTAAATAAGCGCCTGGGCTAAACTTACTTTTTTTTCTGAAAATGTGATGTTATTTTTGGATCATTTTTCCATGCTTTTTTAAAAAAAATTGACCTTGTTCTTGATACGTAATGTTGTTTGTTTGGTTTTTTTTCCGAAAAGAAAACCTATCATCATCCTGTGTTCTCAATATATTTACAAGTTTGCTGAGCTAATATAATTTGATTTAAATCTAGGTGTTTTCAGTTTTTCATCCAAGTCGTCTTGAATGTCCAATGGAATTGGTCATTGAAAAAATGAATGAAAAAGAAAAAAACTGCGTGAAATCAACTACTTTTTATTTTATTGATTGAAATATCAAAACAGAAAAAAAGTGATGTCAACATTTTATTCAGCCAAAAAAAAAGAAGACCAAATAAGGATGTTTCGTTAGTTTCTCTTTTTTTGCCATTTAAACTGTTAATCACATTGTATTCAATTCAAATGGATCATCATATAATAATTCAAAATTTAATTTCATTTCCAATTCAGTTTGATATTTAGAAATTATTGGTATACGTAATATACTAAAACGACACCATTTTCCCATAAATTTTTGTTCAATTAATTTAAAAAAATCTTCAGGTGTTTTATCAATCATTTCATCCTGATCTAATGATAAAATTAAATCACCCATACGAAAATGACCATTCATTTCAGCTAAACTATTTGATTTAATTTTCCATATCATTAATGGTGTACGTTTATTACCAATAATTTTTAATCCTAATCGTTTATCTGTTTTTATAAATATATTTATAAAATATATTTGTCCCATACGTTCATAAAATTGTTTACAATCCATCGATAATGATTTTTGATGATGATTATTTTTAGTAGTTTGTTGTAAATATTTCCAATTCAATTTGATACCAGTTTCATTCAATAATATTGATTGTAATTTATCTGAATCGTTCAGTGATTGTTGTTGTTGCTGACCAAATTCTTCATCATCATCATCATCACTGTGATCATCATATTCAGCAATTCGAATCAATGTTTTAAAACGATTCAATTCAATTTCAAATGCTAATTGTTTCCAAATTTTTAGATAATCATCATTATTCATTATTAATAATGATGATGATTCTTTAATCATTTCATTTATATCATTATAAATTGGATTATCATTATTATTTTGATTTTGATTATTAAAATTACTTAATAATTGTATTTGTTGTACTCTACCAGATAATTCTTTTTTTAAATAACTAATCACTTGATTTAATCCATAAATTTTATTTTCATAACGTTGTTGTTTACGTAATTGTTTATTTTGTTCCCGTTGTTGTTGTTGATAATCATTATAATTATTATAATCATTTCGATAGTTTTGAATTTCTTGTTCGATTGCACATTTTAACATTATTAGATTGGTGGTGGTGGTGTTGGTGTCATTTTTAGCATCACATTTGTCGGCCGCATCTGCATCATCACCATAGCCGTGTGAAAGTTTATCGTCATCGTTTTCACCATCATCCAAATCAACAATACTATTACACCATACAGTTGATTTCAATCGATTTCGTAGATGAAAATTTTCCATTTCTAAACGTTCGATTTTTTGTTTCATTTGTTTTGTACGTTCAGCAAGTAAATATGTTTTTATCATTAATTTTGCTTCGGATAATGCTATACGTATTAATTCTGGTTTCAATTGTTCAATTAATGTTTCATTTTGTTCATTTTTATCATCGCCATCGCCATTGCCATTGCCATCACCATCATTATTCTTTTCATTATTGCTATAATCATCCGTAAATGTCAACGATTGTGATGTTTTTGATTCATCTTCTTCATCATCATCATCATCGTCATAATCATCATCATTTTTCACTTCCTGGTTGTTGTTGTTGTTGCGGTGGTGGTGGCTGTTGCTGATAGTTTTATCACATTCATTACAATAAAAACAGTTAACATTTGTAAATTCTGTACATTTTTTCAATAAACATTTAAATGATGTATCAAATTCATTCTCTATACATTTTATAATGTTTATCAATTCATCATCATTATTATTCATTGTTTTTTCGGTTTGATGAAATAGAGAATTTCGAGCCTGAAAGAAAGAAAATGTCTAAATTTAGATTTTTGTAGACGAGAGAGAGAGACAGATGACGGGATCAAAATGTTAAGAAATTATTACTTTTTTTTGTAAAAACTAATATTTATAATCAATTCGAATAGAAAGTCAACATTACAAACTTTTTTTTAAGAAAAAAAAAGTAATTCGAATTAACGAATTTTTTTTACAAATCATTAATCTTATTGCTTGTTTGGTTCTTTAATTAATCTTTTTTTTTCAAAAAGTTAAAAGAATTTTAATGTTTTGCATTAATTTGATTAAAAGTATTTTCGTTTGTTTGCGTTTACGTTTTACGTTTTATGATTCATGATGAATGCATTCCTGACATTCTTTTTCTTTTCCAACAACAACGAAAATATGCTTAGATTGACAACTTTGTAACCATAGTGAAACATTTCTTTTTATCATCAAACAAAAAGATTATAATCCATAATTTTTTGTTTTCCCCATTATTCAAACGAATTTATCATGAACAGCAGTATAACAACAACGGATTTCCTTTCATCAAAAAAAAATTTTCATTTCCTATGTAATTTAGTTTATTTTCATTGAATCTTGTTGATTCCATCATTGACATTTATCATTTTGACATTTGTCACTAATAAATTTTCTGGTTTTTCTGTTGTTGTTTTTGTTTTTGTTGTTGTTGTTGTTGTTTTGTTTTGTTTTCTTTGATTGTTGATTTCATTTGTTTATTACACACACACACATTGATTATTCAGATTTTGATTCTTTCGGTTCATCAACAAAGCATTAAAGTAAGTTGGAAATTCTTTTGACATTTGACCTTTTTCTCTCTCTCTCTGTTTGATCGTAAAAGATGATTGACATTTATTCATTTTTTGTTTCACCAATCAATAAATTTTCAATTGAAATTCATCAATCAAATGAATGTTATTAATCATAATAATCATCATAATCAAAATGATTTTGACAATCACATCTTTTTTTTCTGTTGTTGATTGAATTAGATTGGTTATGATTGGCTACCAAGTTTGGTTTTTTTCTGATTCCAGTCTTTTTTCTGCTCTCGATTTTTCTGGTTCAAAAACTTTAGCAATTTTCTAGCTGAGAGTATCCGTTATCCTGCTTCATTCAATCGATAATTTCATTATTTTTCAATTGATCGGGATTCGTTTTTTCATTTCATTGATTCATTGAATGTGTTTTTCCAAAAATAAAAACGTTCACACATAATTGTTTTTTTTTAACTTTGGTGACAATCACAAAACTGGTGCCGTAAGTTTTTTCTTATTAAATTTTTCCAGTTTTTTTCTTTTCTTCTTTCAAAAATGTTGTCAACAACAACATTCCTATGGTGATAGATAATTGTCAATCCATGATGATGATGATAATGATGATCATTGGACCATGAATCCATTCTTTAAATATTTTCTTATTTTGTTTTGTCTTTGAAATTAGCGAATAACGAATGATAAAGATGATGATGATCCACCGGTTATCTTTCCTTCTAAACACTTTTTTTAAAGGATGGGTGAATTATTTTCTTCTTCTTTTTCGTATTATCATTTCATCATAGATGAATGAACTTGGATTGAATTGTTTTTCTTCAAAAAACATAAGGTATATATGGCTATTCATCATCATGTTGATGATAAATGACATTTTGGTGGTCAACAAAAACGGATAATTTCATTCAAAATCCATTGTTTTGGTAGTTGATACACTTGTTGTTTGACTTTTTTTTCTTGTCATTGATAATGATGACCATATGGTTAACATATCAACCAAAAACTTGATCACCATTTTTCATTGTGGTCGTGATGATAATTTTGATGATAATTTTTCTTCAAGGTTAACCCACCATTAAAAACCAGATACCCTATGTGTCATCAAATTATATAAAGAAAAAAAAACCTTGTGTATAATGTCATCATCATTATCAATGAATTGAATGCTGCTTGTCTTTAATGATTATCAACTAGTTTTTGTAAACTAATGTGTGTGTGTGTGTGGTGTTTGCCTTTCTTTTCTTTTTTTGGTGAAATCCGTGAGAAAAGCATCATTAATTTATACCCAATCTACCTACTTGAATGAACCTTGAGTTTTTTTTTTGGTTTCTTGCAATCAAAAAAAACGTGGTCACAATATTTTATCACTTATCGTTATTTCTTTTTTTTTAAATACAGGTTTTTGGTCAAAGGTTAAATTGATGTATGTGAGGCAAAGTCTAGCCTCTTGAATATCATCAGACCAATAATTATTCAAATGTTAAGTAAGAAAGAAGAAAAAAATAACACGCCTGTGGAGGATCAATATTATTCAAGCACTTTTGTTTTCCTTCAGGAAAATTTTCCTTGAAAAAAGAAAAGAAATTGAAACTATTGAAACAAGAAAAAACTACACCTAATAACAATGAAAGGGTTAAAATCATTTTGATAATGAATGCAATATTGTAAAATTACATCGATACACCGAAACACACACTAATTAGCCAATCGATCATGATTATTAATTTATTCAATGTTTTTTTTCTCTTCTCAATGATGATGATGGTGGTGTTTATCCAGTTTTATCAATTCAATCAATCATAGGATTTGTAGTTGTAGTTGTTTTCAATGCCTTTCAGACATAAGATGATTAAAAAAATGCAGGGATTTTTTCAACTTTATCCATCGCTTTTTTTTTCCCACATAAGTGGTCATCATAATCATCATCATCATCATCAGGGCTGTTGTATGCAAGGCATTTTACTTCATTCATTCAGTTGAAGATCATCCCTAAATAATCTGGATCACCAAAATGATAAGTAAATGGAAAATTGATCTATACTTGACATCATGTGTGCATAATCATTCATTGATCGAACGATGCGAATCAATTTGATTCGATTATGATGATGATGATGATGATTGACCTGACTGGTCGAACATTTTTATTCTTTTGAATGGTAAATCTTTTATGTAAATATTTAATTTTTTTTTTTGAAAGAAGAACGAAAAAAAATCCCACGATTTCTATTGAGATATGCATTATTATCTGTTGCTGTTGAACAAACACCTGAGATTATTTAACATACATTGCTCATCACTCAATTGTGGTTTGACTTTTTTTTCTGAATGAATGAATGAATGACTAAATGGACCCTAGAGTAATTTTTTTTCGGTGTTCATATCAGGTTGATGGCTTTTACACACACACAAAAAAAAACACTTAATGGGGAACACATGCCGTGACTTTTTTTATTTATTTTCTCAATGACAAACAACATTTGGGTCTATTGAATGAATCTCTCCAGGTGTTGTTGTTATTGCTTACTTCTTACCTAACCTTCACGATTCATTCAGAACCAAAACCAAAACCAAAACAAAACAGACAAAAACATTTGGCCAAATAATGTTTATAAACTTTGGCCTTTGGCAGCCAAAAACATATGTGGTTTTGTTGTTTAAATGAATATTGCTTGTGCCTGTATGAATTGAAACATCCTGTCGTTTTCAATTTCAATATATAGGAAAATATACCAGCATAGATCGATAAACAAAACAAAAAAATTTGAAATTGAAATCATCCACATACACACACCGGTGATAGCCATCATCATTTTGGATTTTTCCTTTCCTTTTTTTCGCTGAAAACGTTGTCATAACGACTACGGTTTTATTTTTTGTTTTGTTGTTTTTCCAAACTATCAATCTTTCTATGGTCTTTTTGTGTGTGTTGATCTTGTTCATAAAAACACATAACCTTTCTCTCTTTTTATTTTCATTTCACAACAACAACGAAAAACAGTCGTAAAAATGAATGATTTTTATCCGTTTTTCATACGACGACAACGACATATAACTTGAAACACTACTACCACTTACAGATGATTATTATGATGATGATGATGATGAACGAACGCAAAAAAAATTGACAAAGAGAGTGAAATGTGTAAGAGAGAGAAATACGAAATACAAAGATTGAATCATTGCATCGTTTTTCTCCCATTCATTCATTCATTCATTCATAGTGAATGAATGAATAATGTCTACTGTTTTTTCTTTTCGTAAATTTTATACAGCCAAAACAAAAATTTTTTACTGTCAATCAATTCGACATTCGTATAATTTTCATTTGTGTAAAAAGTTGTTTGATATTAAAATTTCCGTTTCGTTTTACGTTCGTTTGATATTAAAATTTTCATTGGTGATTTGAAAATTCAAAAAAAAAACGATTGTTTAACGTTATTCAACCACAAGAACTACGAAAAATTAACATTATAAAAATACCATGCCATCATCATTACCATTATTGTGATTTGTTCAATCGATGATTGTTTGTTTACAAATTACATTTACCATTTGAATTCATCATTTTCTTCGAATTGATTGTTTGGCTCAAATTTCGCTTTGTTTTTGTGATTTATCCGATAACATCTATTGTTTTTTCGTGTGTTTTCATTGTGTTTTCTTCAAAATTATCAAAGATGCTGATGATCAAAATGAATCCTATCAAATTGATTTTCGAGGTTTGTTTTATATTGTGGTTGGTGAATGAATGTCAATCGACAAAGTATCCTTCATCTTGAACTTTATTTTAATTCAATTATCAAATGTTGTTTTTTTTCCTCTCCGGATATTCAATGGAATAATTTATTCAAATATTCAGTTAGTTTTCAAGGTTAATTATCAATTTTTCTTCATTTCAGCAGCAGCCAATTTAATTAAAAAACGATTGAAATTTGAATATTTTTTTTTCTAAATGGAAAACTTTTATAGATTTTTCATTGTGTGTTTATTTATTCATTTTTTTGCTGCTGCTCATGAATGAAAACGCACGCAATTTGAATCTTTTTTTGTTGTAAATTTCATTGAAAATTGAATAGATTACGAGTGTGTGTGATTTTTGATTGAATGGAAAAATGAATAATGTCAATATTTTTTTCGTTCACACAAAACAAAATGGCTTTTTGTTCCAAGTCTGAGCTAAAAAAAATTTTGAATCGTTTTCAGTTTTCTGGAACAGTATAATTGAATTGAACAATAATAATGTTTTTTTTCTGTTGTAATGATAAAAAATGTATGTAGAAAATTTTGATAATTTTATTTACACCTACGTAATAAACGTTTTTTTGCTAAAACAAACTATTGGACATAATAATCGTAATCGTCAAGTCGACTATATTAATCTTTAATCCCTTTTTCTTTCCATTGATAATGATAATGAATGTTTCGGCTTTGTTGTGGTGTTTTTTCTATTTTGTTAATGCTTAATGTTTCACACGACTTCATTGTCTTTATCTTAAAGATTATTATTTTTCCAGATCTATTTGAGAAAATGGCCTGTGTTAATTGAGCAATTTTTTTTCATTTTGAAAAATGTTAATCCGATTTCTTTCTCACTCTCTTCTTGTTTGTTGGACTTGTTTGTAGGAAACATTTCTTGACCAATATTCATCATTGAAAATCTTATGGCTAAATCAACATTATTTTTAAATTCTTCAATTCAGAATTTGATTCAATCAACAACAACAACAACAAATCAATCACAACAACCTTATCATCAACAACAACAAAAATCATTAAATTCATCATTTACCATTTTGAATAATAATGACAACAATAATAGTCAAATTGAAACGGAAAATTATACTAAACAAACTAATCTAACAACATTGCCAATCATTGTTGAAGATAAAAATATTTTTTCAAAAAACATTGACAATTTTTTTCATTACATGAAGGATTTATTCTTGTTTTCAACATTGAATGATCAAAATAATCATCATCATAATGATGATGATGATGATATTGTTGGAATAGCCAACAATAATGATAATGATGATGAAGATTTTATGGAATTTTTCAATACAGATTCCAGTGGTTATCATCATCATAATGTGGAAAGTGTTGAAATCCTATCATCCGAAAATTTGACAACAACAATTTCAAGCATTTTAAATGATTTAAATTTTAATGAAAATTCAACATCGATCAATTTAAATTCAACAATATCATCGACAAAAACAACAACAACAATCATGCCAACAACAACAATAATACCTCATTATCCACGTAATCATCTTGTTGATGATGATAATCATCGATCATCATCATCATCATCATCAACAATGATGACACCGATACAGAAATTATTCGATATGAATAGAATAATACGAACATCGAATGATAATCGATCAAATCTTTATTCAACAACTACCAATATTAATGTTGTCAACCTAGATCAAAATAGTCATCAAAATAATAATAATCTTCTTCATAGTCAATCATCTTCTATTGATAATATTAGTTTAACACCATTTTTAACATCGACAACAACAACAATAGCATCAAATTTAACCGAAGATTATCAACGACCAATTTTTTTTCAAACATCAAGTACAACAATGACAGATATTTTTGTTGATAATATTCAACCCGATGATACAAATAATATATTTTCATTTGCTCCCGGTGGTCGACAATGTTTTCATTCACCTGAAGATTATGAACTAATTACATCGATGCTTTGCTCAAGTCTATTGGTATTGGGTGTTGTTTATTTTACCTATGGTTATCGTTGTTTTCGTGCATTTAGTTTTTTTGTTGGTTTTATTCTTGGTGCCATATTATTTCATACAATATGTACAGCTGAAAATATATCTATTGTGCCAACATTAATTCCACAACATGGTAATCTAATTGCATCATTATTAGCCGGTCTTATGATTGGTTTGTTTACAATGCTAGTCGCCTATCTTGGTCTATTCATCATCGGTATACATCTTGGCCTTATGTTAGCCATTGGTTTATTAATTGTGATATATCTATTACGATCATATTATATTCCATTACAAGCACCATTATCATCATTAACATTATTGGTATTTTTTATTTCATTAAGTTTGGTTGGTTCATTGACAACCGTATATTTTTCTAAAGGTAAGCTGTTCTATTTTTTTTACTATATGTAATACTATCATTATTTCATATTGTTGTGACAATTTTTTTTGGTTGGAAAATTTTTTACATTTTGTCAATTTCAATTAATTTTATATACACACATTGAGCACATATTTTTTTGTTGGTACAAATATTTAGTTAGAGATCTAATTTCAGTTTTTAAAATTCAGCTAAAAAACTCATTTGAATAATTTGTGATCTCTTGGTTTGAGATTTTATTATTCAACGGGCCATTATATCGAACATTGACTTTTTATTTTATCAAATTTATATATCTACATTTCAGTTTTGATTATCCTTATTTGAACTAGATTATTTCTACATTATCATAAAAATATAGTTTATTTATTATTTAGCAACAAAAAAAAACCAACCAACAACAATAATAAAACTGCAAATGTACATTGGTCATTGGCCTGTCTTTTATTATCATTGTATGTGTGTTTAATATTCTCATTGAATGAATCTTTTATTTGTTGCTGCTCGATGGACCAGAAACTTTGTAAAATTTTTTGTTCTGGTTCACAACGTGTTTATTAATAAAAAAAACATCCTTCCTGTCCATTGATCTATTTAGATCAATATTTCATTGTTTTCAATTTGATCAAATATCAAATCGAATGTTATTTGAACTAATTTCTATTCTTTTTTTTTATTTTTCAAAAAAATATTCAGGCGGTACAATAATGGCATCCAGTATGTATGGAAGTGCATTGGCATTATTATGTATCGATTATTTTCTTGAAGATTTTAAAGTGATACATTGGTTTTTGGATCAACTAAGTAGTAATAGTAATAATTTTGTTGGATCGTCGACAACAAACGATATTATCAATAATAATGGTTATAATATAATTGGAACAAATCCAACAAATGATTGGTATGGTTTATTGTCCGGTATAAAACGATCACAATCATTATGTTTTGGATCATTTATCATATTATTATTATGGCCAATATTTACATTGATTGGTATTATAATACAATGTTGTTGTACGGCACGTCATTATAAATATCATAATGGTTATGGTATGGTTGATAATACAAGTAATGGTCGTTGTACACCATCTATTCTAAATCATTCACGTGAAAGTATTCGTAGCCTAAATCATTATCATTATCCATATCCAAATGTATCGGCAAAATTATATCATCATTCTACAAATAGTGTTCGTTCAAATAATGATCGATCAATAAAAAATTCAATAAATATGAATGCAACAAATCTAGATGAACAACGTCTTGAACAAAGGCATCGTAAATATCGTTATCTTTATCAAGTACGAACAGCACATGGTGATGTTATTTCACAGGTTATTATGCTTGCTGCATCAAGACGTCAACAAATGATTAATTTTTGATTTTTCTTTCTTTCTTTTTACCTTTATTTCATATATATAGCATTATCTACAAAGTTTACAAAATAAAAAACAAAATCATCAGCAACAACAACAACAACAACAACAACAATTGTGCCTTCCGGATCAGGATAGTTTTACATTCAATTCCGATCAATCATCACATTTTTTTCCATCCGAAAGTCGTACAACAACATTAAGTGTAGCATAGTGAATAATGGATTATTATCCATATCTAGAAAATTATTTCAAATGTATCTCATCAGCATCGAGTAGCAAATATGATTATTCTTTATTTGTATATAATGTTGTTTTTCTTTTTCCATTATTATTATTATTATTATTATTATTTTGTATATAAAAACAAAAAATACTTTTTACTTTTTTTTCACGCTCATTCAAATTATATGAACACTGGAACATCATCGTAATAATCATCAATTATAACAACTGTTAACAAATGTGAAATTAGATCACATTGTGTGTGTGTATGTGTTTGTCCGATGACAAATGTTTATATTATTGTTTATTATTATGTTCATCTTTGTTATTTGGCATCAGTCAAAGCGAAAACAAAATGGATGATTAATGGACATGATGGTCATCATCATTGAATATGATTCACAATTTTTTTCTTCTGGACCATTTTTGTTTTGTTTTTTTTAAATAATTCAAATAGTAGACGATAACGAATAATAAATATGCATTATTATTTGAATATTTTAATAATTTTTTAAAAATTTAAACAAAAAAAAATTTTTCTATTCCATTGTTTCACAATCATCACTTAGCATATGATTCATAATAAATTTGGATATTAAAGAATTATTGATACCACTTTCGGTGGGACTAGTAGTAGTCATTCCATCATCACTTGTTGTTGTTGTAAAATTTGGACTTTGTGATAACATCATCATTGTTTTTTGTTGTTGATAATTGGAGCCATTTTTTCTTGAACAATTTACCATTGATTCATCATGAATTCGATAGCCAATATTTTCATTTGTACCATTCGATAATGTTTCCATATCATTTACATGTATTGATATACGATTTTTAATTGTTTTCAAATAAATACCACCAAAATAACATGTTTTCGAACGATATTGTGAAAATGTTTGTTGAAGTGTATGATGTTGAATATCGGCAATATTTACATAACCAATACGATAATAATTACAAAGATGTAAAAAATGTTCACCTAATTCTAATGAAACATATTGTAATGGTTTATAATTTGATGTTATTATAGCACGTTTCATATCTAAATTTTTTAGACAATCAATTTGATTACGATTAAAATCATTATGAAATATACAGAATAATTGACAAAAACCTATACATAATTGATAATATATTAAATCATTTTCATTTAAATTTGCTTTGATTGATTGATTATTTGAATGTAGATAATTATTCAATGATTGTAGAATAAGCTTCAATAATGAAAATATTGAATTTATATTGATAAAACGTCCATTTAAAAATAATGATATTATAATATTTAAACTACTTTGACGAATAATAATTGGTGTTTGTGGTGTTGATAATAATGTCCAAAGATCGGATACCAATATATTACAATATGATTCGGAATGTGAACAAATATAGAATAATAAATATTGACAATGTATCGAATCGGATGATAAAATACGTTGAAAGAATATTGTTGTTAATATTTGTATCATTTTATCCCAACGATGTTCATTTTCATCATTATCATTTTTCTCTTGTTGTTGTTGTTGTTTTTCTTGATATTTTATACGATCATCAATATGATCAAACAATAAATCAAGAATCGAATCAAGAATTTTCAATTTTTTAAATCGTTCTTGATCATGATCGACAATTGAATCAATTTCAATTTCGAATATATGATTATTTTCTTTATTTTGTTGTATGAATTCATTGAAAAATTGTTCCAAATCAATTTCCAATAATTTTTGAAATAAAAAATCCAATAAATCGATTGCATTATCATGGGATAATAATTCAATAAAATTAATTATATTATATGCATAGCATTGAAATTCATGTACAATAGAATTATGAATGAATGGATAACGTTTTTTCATCAGACGTGTTAATATAAATTCCAAATTTTTAACATTAATGATCAATGTTTGAATTGTTTGTTTGAAACAATTAAATAATTGTAATTCTTTATCTTGAATTTTGACAATTTCATTTGATTCAGATGCTTTGTGTAATGTATTACCACGTAAAAAGAATAGAAAATCATCAAGAAATTTTTCACAACGATTCGGAAATATTCGAATATATTCGGCAATAAAATTGATAAATATTTCTGGTCGTAATGATTTTTCTTCATTATCATCACCGTTGTCGTCGTCGTCGTCGATATTGAAAAGATATTTTTGCCATGGTAATTTAAGTAACAATTTTTCATATTTAAAACCCGATAAACAAACATTATTTAATAGATTTTCAGTTATTTTCGTTACAATATCATTAATATTCAATCGTTTTCCATTTATATCCGACCATTTTTCTTCATGTTTAATAAAATATTCAAAATGTATTAGAAATTTTTTCTTATCAATTTCATTGAATAATTCATCGAGATTAAATTGTTCATTAGCCATTATAAATTAGTTGTCATCAATTTTTCTTTCAAACAAACCAGAAAAAGAATCTTTGAATCACAACTTAAAATGATGCACGTAAACAAAACAAAACAAAAAAATCAAAATAAACGTGGAAATATTCTGTTTTTAAAGGAAAAAGCATGCATTTTGAGCAAGATTCTTTTTACACATGCGCATTTAATATTTCGAAGACAAAAAAATAGAATGCCGCATCGGATCATTTCATCATGGTATTTTCAACATCCATATTTATTTAACCCAGAAAATGAAAACGTTTTCGAAACGTTTTTTTTCTTCAACAACAGAAAACAAAAACAAAAACAAAAACGAAATGTTCATGAAATCTTTCAAATGGAGCGTCCCTTAGCATCAAATCGGATCAATGATCTCGAACTGTTTTCTGGTTTTGGTTTTTTTGTTTTGGTTTTTTGCCTATATTGTTCGATTCTAATTTAATTAATATTTATTTATTTACTCAATTCAAGTGGCCATAATATTTATATAAATAATGATTTGGTAGCATAATTATCTGATTCAATACGAATTTCATTCATTCAATTGTGATCATCATTAGTGATAAAATGATGAACATCATCATCATCATGGTCGTCATGCAACAATGAAAAATTGTTTTACTATAAAATCATCATACTAAAACACGCAACTGAATTGCTAAGCAATTATCATTGATTAACCAATAATAATAATAATAATAATAAGCCATTTATTATCATTGTTTCAATCCACGCTCTATTGATGGTAGATAGAATTTTTTCTTTGTTTTTATTTACTTTGATCAACAGCATCATTCAACAATTAACACTAATAACCAAAAAAGAAAATCATTTTTGATTTCAATTTTGTCAATTCATTTTACTTGTTGATTATTCTTTTTTTTTCACCCTAAATCATCAATTTAGAAAACAATACACAGACATAGCGAAAACACTTAACCTTGACACAGCCATTATTGTGCCAAATTTTCTTTGATTACGGTCAAAGGAAGAAAAAATCTCACTTTTACATATTTTTTTAATATTTTTATATTTGCTCAATCTCCACCACCAAAAAAACAAAATGCCATCTTATCTGCCAATTCCAAACAATATCCTAATCATTATGATAATCTTATACTGGTCACATCAAATGAATTGTTCAACAACCAATAATTGTAAGTAAAAATTGATATTTTGTTCAAACATCTTATGTTAATTTTTGTTGAAATCTTTCGTCAACCAAACAGCATCATCAAACGTACAACAACAACAACATCAATCATTTATTAAACTAATAAATTCATCATCGAAACAGGATCAATTTGAACTATTATTAATTTGTATTGATAATGATTATTATAATAATTCCATTATACAATTAAATCTGATTGATATTGATATGGAACCATTAAATGTATTTACAATCAAATCTGATGGACATATTGAACCAATCGATAATCTATTAACAATGAAATATTTTACAGGCACAATAATGAATACCAAATGGAATCATACAATAAAAATCTATTCATATGGTATTATTAATGTTGTGAATGGTGAAATTTCTTTATTAATTTCTACCGATTCGGATGAATTCTATTTAACTCCAAGTATTTCTTTTGATAAAAATTTAAATACACATTTTATCAATGAAAATCATATACCTCATTCATTTATTGTACCAAATATTTATTCAAAATGGAATTCTCATAGACATCGACGTCATAGTTCAACTCGTTATTGTGGTATAAAGCTTAAAATTGATTATGATTTATTTCAAAGATTTAATGAAAATTTAATATTAACTGTTCAACATAGTCAATTTGTTATCAGATTTGTAAATAAAATATTTTTTCAAACAAAATGGTCAGAAAATGGTTATGAAAATGCAACGGAAAATCATTTGGATAGATTTGGTATTCTTCCATGTGTTATAATTATTGAAGTAGAAGAACAATTAATGAATCCATTGAAACCACAATATAATTGGACTGAATATATTGAACAAATTTCTGACCAAAATTATTGTTTATCACATGTATTTAGTAATGTAAATATTACCGATTTGAATGGCCTTACATTTATACGACGTATTTTCGAGAAAATTAATGGTGGTTTATCAAGTTTTGCTCATTGTAAAAATCCATGGGAAATTTATTGTATACTAAGTGTTGTTCATGAATTTGGTCATAATTTTGGTTCACCACATGATCCTGAAACAAATGATTGTATGCCTGAAGAAAATGGTTCATTCATAATGAGCTATCCATTTAATTATAAAAAAGGTCCAAATAATTTTAAATTTTCTCCTTGCTCAAATCGTGCCATTTATCATAATTTGGAATCAAAATTTGATGATTTTATTGAAATGATTAAAAGTAAGTTAATTTCTTCTTCTTTTTTTTTTGATTAACTAAATCAATATATTTGATATTTTTTTGATTCTAAAACAAAGAAGGTTCTTGTCGAAATAGAAATAAATGTGGTGATCGAATTGTTGAAGAAGGTGAAGAATGTGATGAAGGTAAGGATGGTGGTAATTGTTGCGATAAAAAATGCCGTTTAAAACCGAATGCCAAATGTAGTCAAAGTCAAACAAATGCTTTATGTTGTAATGAAAAATGTGAATTTCGAATGAAAGGTGAACATTGTTTACCGAATGATCTCAATTTTTGTCTAAACCATTCAGAATGTGATGGTAAATCATATTTATGTCCGGATCGTAAACCTTTACCCGATTATACACTTTGTGGTGATGAACATTTGGATGGTGTTTGTCATAATGGTCATTGTCAAATGTGTTCAAGATATATTGAAGGTTGTCATTTTTGTTGTCTGGAAAAATTCAAAAAAACTTGTAAACCAAATCGAATATTACCAGTTGATTCAAAATGTGAAATAAAAAATATGCCTGGTCGATGTGATTATCAAGGTATATGTCAAAATTTGAATTCAATTATCGATACATTCAAACCATCAACCATCGGTCCATCACCACATCCAATCGATAAATTCAATTTCATACTATCTATTAGAGGTAAAATTGTTTATCAAATATTTTTCAAAAGAAAAATTTTTCATGTTTCAAATTTTGAATTTTTCTCATTTTCTCCAATTTATAGATATCATCTTGTTGACTATTTTTATTACGGTTTTCATTCTTATTGCATTAGTAATATTGGCTAATTATTTGGCCGAAAGAAATTTATTCGATGAATATGATGGTGAATTTCGTCAAACATTGATTAATTATAGAAGAAGAGGTTAGAAAAAAAGAGATGAAATTTATTTTTCATTTATAATTTACTAAAATATTATTTATTAGGTTCACCCGATACTCTTGTAAGGATGGCAATAAAATAATAATGATCTGGTGATTTCTTTGTTTTTTTCCACTCTCACGCTCTCGATAATATGTGACAATCAGTTTACGAACCTAGTCTAAATATTTTTATTTTATTTTATTTGCTGTTGTTGCAATAATATTGACTAATGAATGTATTAAAAATTTTATAAAAATATTTTTATTCATGATTTTTAAAATTATCAAATCAAATGCGTTTACTTATTTACAAAAAAAAAACAAACAAACAAACAAAAATCACAGTGGTTAATTGAGAAAACAATGTAATTATCAATTTAATTGAAATTTACATGATAATGGCGTATGATTTGAATCTGTTATCGTTTGTTCAACAGAATTGTTATTTACATGATTCCATATTGATTGTAAATTTGTTTCTTTCATTTGTTCAGTGAATATAATACTACGATTATAAATACATTGATCAATATGTTTTGGTTTAACATTGAATTGAAAACCAGGCATCTGATAACGTTTGAACGGAATTTTTGAAATTTTTTCCAATTTTTCCGGTACAATACCAGTTATATAAATATCTTCCCATAATAATGCTGGCATTGATTGTTGTATAGCAGCTAAATAGATAAATAAACAACTTGAACGACCATTCATAAGCCATGCTGAACCAGTATAAAGTGGATAAAATTTTTTTGGAAAATCATGAAAACTTGTAAAAAATTTATTCTTTTGTAATCGTATAACAGCAGTATTATTCCATAGATTTCCATAGATTGCAAATCTTGCTGCATTATTATTTTGCTGATTATATTGATAATTTTGTTTTAATTTTTGACAAAATTCAATAAAATTATCATAATTGATTAATGCATCTGCATCAACTTTAAATACATTAACAGCTAATGGACAATAAATACTTGCCCAACGTACAATAGCCATTGATTTGATTGTTAAACGAAAATAATCTTCCGAATAATTCCATTGAATAATATCATTAAAATGATCATTTTCTTGTCGTATCATTTCATCAATTTTACGAAAATCAAATAATTTTTGTCGCATTATTCTACCGAATACAAAATATAATCGACTTGTATTGCTGTTCGATTGAAATTTTGATGCCCATGTTGAACGAATTAATGAACGTAAATGAAAATCATCCGGTTTTGTAACAACAAATATTACTACCGATAAATTGGCACCATATTCCAATGGATCACATAATCTTGCACCCAAAATTATTTTCGTTATTACTTTGAATTCAGATTTTTTCAAATTAGTTTTCATTCCTTTTGATCTTCGATGTTCAATTTCATTTTCTACATCGGTTATTGGCTGATCAGCATAAATATAGGTATCGATTCGATTGATTAATCGAAGATGAAACAGAAGAATTCTATCTGAAAGATTAAGAATTCAGTTAATGAGAAAAAAAATCCAAAAAATTATTATTGATTACCTTTAAAATTATTTTTCGAATCAAAACCATCAATATCGGATAGATTAAATTTAGTCAACATTAGATTATCATTATCATCATAATCATTATCAATATGATCAGCAGCAGTAATGATTATATTTTCCGTATCCGAAAATATATTTTTTTCAATTTGAGGTAATCGATTATAATATAAATCAGTCAAATTCAAATGTTTCATCCAACGAATTGTATCGATATTAATCTGTTGTAATCGTTGAAAATATTTTAAAATTGCTACATTATTATTATTGCTATTGGGCGTATTATTAAGTAATTGATTTTGATAAAATTGATTGGTCGTATGATGAATAAATAAAAATGTTGATAAAATTATTAAACAAATTATAAATGTAAAATATTTTTTCAATCTTGTCGATGATAATGATGAAAGCATATTTTATTTTATTTTATTTTGAAATTGATTCAAACCATAAATTTACAAAAAATTTGATTTTCTTAAAATTACAATTATCACAAACACAGAGAAAAACATCGATATTGAAATCAAAATTTCCAATTTATTAATAAACATGATGATTTGTTAATATGATGTTATCAATTTAGTTTTCATGGTAACCCAATAAGGATATTTAAGAAATTAAATTAATCCATTTTTTACAATTTTATTATCACCGGGAAAATTTAACACAGGTAATGTTGTTGTCATGACATTGATGAGAGTTTTTCTTTTCTATTTTTTTTGATTGTTTGTTTGTTTCAACATTGTATCCGATCAATCGTGAAAGGAAGGATTACTTACTTATGATCGGGATACACATTTTTGTTTGTTTGTTTGTCTAATTTCATCAATCAATCAATCAATCAATCAACCAATCGATCAATGGAAATTGAATCAATTAAAAATTTTTTTAAAAAAAACTTAAAAGATTAAATTGGTTGGTTGGTTGTTGTTGTTTTTGTTTTGAATTTGTGGTAAAAAACAAAACTTTTGCCTCATCATCATTGGAATGAATGAATGAATGAATGATCATCATCATCATCATCGTTTGTCAGAATTGTATTTCTTTGCCAAATTGAATTCGAAAACAAACAAAAAACAAAACTGATTGTCATAGGCTTTCTATTTCTCACTCTCTCTCTCTCTCACACACACACTATGTCTTCTTGTATGGCTTTCAACCGAAACGGTTGCCAACAATTTTTTTTCATTTTCATTTTTCGTTTTTTTTTCATTCGAAAATTATTGAATCAAATGGGCAGAATATATGTCGTAATGTTACACACACACACCATACGCATATACACATACACAGTTACTTTGTTTTATTTTATTTTCCTTCCCCCCATTCATTGATTGTGGGAGTGAAAAAAGTGAAAATATGATTTCCATTCATTCATTCATGTTTGTTTGATGATGGTGGATGATGATGATAATATTCTTGTGACAGCACACAAACAAACACAAAACACAATCAATTGATGTTTATTGAGAAACAAACCGATTTTCTATTTTAAAGAAAAATGGTTTTTTCAACCAGAAATTCTCTATATCTCTCTCGGTTATTCTATATCAGGCAAGCAATGCGGTAACATTTAATCGATTAAAGAATGGTTTCCCTTAGATTTAAAAACAACAACTTCTTTTCAATCAAAAAAAGGGCTTTTTTTTACAGAATCGATTTTATACTTTTTCTTTGTCCTGAATTTACCTGAAATAGAATATTTTTCTCCTCTCGGTATAATATTTCAAGGTGATTTTTTTCGCCCGGGACTTTCAATTTGGCTTGAATAATTCAATAGCGAAAACAATTCTTAGCCGAATCTACTAATGAGAAATTTTATCTTGAACTTTCCATCATTTTTTTCGCTCTAAATTGTAACAAAATCCCAAAAAAATGAATTAATTATTATTATTTTTAATAGCCTGATAACCATCATTGCTGGAAATGGACCGGAACAATTGTGAGGAACAATGATAAGCAAAAAACAATCCTTGTTAACATAATAATGTCATAGTTTCTAATTTTGTCAATCCTTGGCCATCAATCATTTTTTTTTTTTTTTTTTTTTGGAATCCGACCAACCGAACAAACAAGCAAAATTTGAATCAAATCAAACAAAATTTGTATAAATAAAAAAAAAATTTTTGAATTGATGTCGCGATCGATCATTGAATCAATCAATCAATCAATCAACAATCGGTCACACTCATCGATAATCACGTATCAAAATAACTAAATGAATAACTAAAATAAAATCGTAATTTACGTCATTTGTCACTACAGTTTTTTGTTGTTTGAAATGAAATTTCTTTAAAAGTTTATGGAATCAAAAATATGTATCTTTATCATTGGGAAAAAACAAAACACATCACACGACCATTTTTAATTTCTTAGTTTCATCCATTTCTTAGTTTAAACATTATGATTGGATTTTTTGTGTACGTCAATTGATTATTGTTATCATCATCGTTTGACGATAATGGACAAAAGAAATTGAAATTTAATATGTTTTCCTTTTGATACACCCACACACACTAATAAATAAACAAATTGCAAATAAAGAGCAAATTGAAAACAAAAATGATTCGATTGATATCAAAAATCAATTTTTCTTGATAATTTTATTTTGGTCGGAAACTTATTATTTAAAGAGTTTCGAGTTAGTCATAACTTCTTATTATTATTTTTATTTTTTTGTTTGTGAATTTCCAATTAAAAAATCAATCATGCGTTTATTGACTATAATTTTGTTTGTGTGTGTATTATTTGTGGCCAATTTTGGTCGTAATGATGCAAAAAGACAANAGACAAACAAACACACAAAACTCAATCAATTGATGTTTATTGAGAAACAAACCGATTTTCTATTTTAAAGAAAAATGGTTTTTTCAACCAGAAATTCTCTATATCTCTCTCGGTTATTCTATATCAGGCAAGCAATGCGGTAACATTTAATCGATTAAAGTGAATAGAATGGTTAGGGAATCTAAATTTTTGTTGTTGAAGAAAAGTTAGTTTTTTTCCCGAAAAAAAACAGAATCGATTTTATACTTTTTCCAATTTTCTTTGTCCTGAATTTACCTGAAATAGAATATTTTTCTTTGTCCTGAAATAGAAAATTTTTCTCTTCTTCGTAGAATATTTCAAGGTGATTTTTTTTCGCCCAGGACTTTCAATTTGGCTTGAATAATTCAATAACAAAAACAATACTAACGAGAAATTTTATCTTGAATTTTCCATCATTTTTTTTGCTCTAAATTGTAACAAAATCCCAAAAAAAATGAATTAATTATTATCAGTTTTTATAACCTGATAACCATCATTGCTGGAATTGGACTGGAACAATTTTGAGGAACAATGATAAGCAAAAACAATCCTTGTTAACATAATAATGGCATAGTTTCTAATTTTGTCAATCCTTGGCCATCAATCATTTTTTTTTGGAATCCGACCAACCGAACAAACAAGCAAAATTTGTATATAAAAAAAAATTTTTGAATTGATGTCGCGATCGATCATTGAATCAATCAATCAATCAATCAACAATCGGTCACACTCATCGATAATCACGTATCAAAA